CCTATGTATATCAACACTTTCTGCCATTTGGCAAATTTCAACTGATTTGAATAAATTGACCGAGCTACTTTGGTGCTATTCTTGGATGATTTTTTCCTCTCAACATATGGTTTACATATGTACATAATATATCCCAGCCATTGTTATACATATAAGCCCCTTAACTCTAATGCTAAATTGGTCATTAACTTTGGTAATGAAACTTCGTATTAAGTATAACACTTTTACTAGTGATTTTTCAAAATTATGATCTTAACTGAGTTAATTTTATTGAAGAGAAAGGGTGGGTCTTCTATAGTTTCTCACTATCACTAAGTATATTACAGTATTATAGATATTTAATATATTTTCTATTGTCATTATATTTACTATATTCGTTATGCCTGCTCTGTATTACATTGTATATACTATATACAATATTACTATGTTTAACATATTAACTATATACAAGATATTCTATCTAAGATATCGATTTCCTTTTGTTGTCATTTTTTTTTTTGAGTTTTTGTCAAAATGATATGTATTTTAATAAATTTGCTAAAGTTTTATGATTCTTGTCCAGCAAAAATTTATCAATTGTCAGATGTTTTTTCTATTGAAGACATGTTGTTTGTTGTAATGACTTCGCTTCATTTTCTTTATGCTTTTCCCTTTTCTTGTCTTCCTGCAATATGTTTTATATCTTTAAAATTTCATTAATTTTTTAGAGATTTGAACTGCCTAAAATTTCCTTAACCGTCTAATTCATTCAGCATCAAAATAATTCTAGCTCTTAATAAACATAATTCTCCTAACAATAAGAAACCAATTTTTATGCTTTAACCATTTTAATTCTTATTACTTTTTATTCTTTCTCATAGATTTTATTACTAACTTTCATAGTTAGAATTTAAATCTTTCTGTTTCTACTGCACCATTTTACTAGACCATTTTTTTCTTTTGCCTTGTTTATCATCCTGCTTTATTGTCTTCATTACTGTTCTTCCAATTTGGTTAAATATAACTTGTTTGATTTTGGATGAATGCATATGGTGAAATGACATAATAGATATAGTGATACTCGATAGATAAATCTTATCTATCTACTTTTAGCTTTTA